GGGAGGGGAGAAGGGGAGGAGGCTCTCCCTGTGGGGACTGGTGGTCCACTGCAGCAGGACTTGGCTTGTCACCGTATCCAGCCCCGGAGCCCCTCAGCCCCAGCACGCTCTCCTCCTGGGATGTCCCAGCTGCCAGCCCCTGGCAGTACAAGGGCTGGGGCTGGGATAGGATGGGGAGGGTGAGATAGGGTAGGACAGGATGGGATGAAGGACAGTGGCTGTGAGGTGAACCATCCAGCCAGGCTTACTGCAGGGCAGCTCCAGCCCCACCACAGCTGTGGGGAGGCTGAGGGGCTGTGCTGAAGCTGGGGCCTGGGGGCTTGGGGCAGGGGTCAGAGGTGGCCAGGGGCCCAGGCTTGCCCTGAGCCAGCTCAGCTTCCTCCAGCTATGGGGGCTTGCAGGCTCAGGGGCTGTGGGGCTGGGTGGCTGCACTTACCTTGCCCTGGTCAAAGTATTCGATGATCTGGTTGTACAGAGCCTCCTTGAGCTGGCGCTGGGTGTGCAGGTCGCAGCTGTGCAGGCCTGGCACGGGGGCCGTATTGGGCTCCTCTGACCACTGCATGGGGGAGAGGGGGCCTGTCATGCCAAGTCACCATGGCTGTCCACCCCCCCCAGCCCCTCTGCGCCCACCGTGAGCAGCCGGGCGTGCAGCAGCAGCGTGTAGGCTCCCTCAGTGTAGTTCTCATAGCTGATGTGCAGGTCCTTCAGCTTGTACAGGTACCTGGGAGCGATGGAATTGTGTGTAGGGAGTGACAGTACCACACGTGGGGCCTGACAGCCAGCACAGCTCGGCATGCAGAGCCCCAGCCCCCTGCCCCTCCAGCTGCTCTGACATTCTCATCCCACTGTGGTCGGGGGGAGCTCGGGGCCCCAGGACTCCCCACCCCAATCTTCTTGGGGCTGCACTCACCTGATGTACATGGCCTGGCGGTTGATCTCCTTGTAGAAGTTCTGGGGAAGAGCAGACAAGGCTGTTTGAGTGGCTCCAGAAGGGACATGTACCACAGCCCCCCACAGTCCCACACTCTGGGTCACGGTGCTGCCAGGACCGTCCCCACACAGAAGGGGCTACCGATGGCACCGGGGAGCTGCACGGCGACTCCCAAGGGACACTGGCTCTGGCAGTGGGTGCTCCCCATCTATGGTGTGCCAGGGGTACTGAGGGGACTTGGGGGGACACAGGGACAAGCCCTGCCAGCCCCAGAGGACTGTGGGAAGGTGGAGGCGAGCCCTACCGCCCCAGGGAACTGGGTGGACTTGGGGTTGAGCCCTGCTATCCTCAGGGAGCTGGGGCAGGGCACAGGTGCCCACCAGGAGGTTGACGGTGCAGCTCATGCTGTAGGTCTTGTTCTCATCATTCATGACAGCCCGGTAGTCCAGGAGCCGCTCCAGGAGCGCAGTCACCAGCTCCACGAAGTCCGTCCCAGGCTTGGTCATCTCAGGATGTCTCTGGCAGCAGCTCAGCAGGCTGGGGAAGAGAGGGGGCCATGGGTGCCACCGCACACCCAGCTCCACAGTGCTCCCACTACTGCTCTGGTCGGCTTCCCAGGAACTCAGAGTTGGGAGAGAGAAGGCCCTCAACGAGGGGCATAAATCAACCCCTGGTCTGCAGTGAGACCCCCCACAGGCACGGCCGGGATGGTGGGAGACCTGACAGCTCCATCACCCTGCATGGGAACCTGATGAGCACAACAGGGCACGAGTAAAGCCTGGGGATGGCAGAGGCATCACCTGGGGCAGGGGTATCACGTAGGGTATGGGATAGTTCCTAGGGTAGGAACAAGTTCCAAAGCAGGGCAGGGCTAATTCCTGGGGCAGGGGTAACTCCTGGGGCAGAACAAAGGTCATTCCTGGTGTAGAGGCATCACTGGGGACAGGAGCATTACCTAGGGCAGGGGCAACATGTGGGGCAGGGGCACTGCTGGGGGGCAGGCAGCAGCAGGATGGCCAGAGCAGCAGAGGTGTGCAGGGGGCACATGATGGTGCTCAGGCACCATCCTTCCTCCTCTCTGGTCCCACTCCCCAGCGGCATTCTCCAGGTCAGGGCACGGTGTGAGGAGGAGTGGGATGGCAGAGAATGGTGAGAGCAAAAGGTCTGTGCCCTGGGGAGAAGGTGGGGATGTCACTGCACACTCACATGCTCCTGAAAAGCTGCTTGTACTGCTCATCCCCACGGCCGCCCTCCACCTCACTGTCCAGCCTGCGCAGAATCTCGTCCTCAAACTGTGGAGGGGGCATGAGGATGGGCTCAGCTTCGCGCCGGTTGCTGCAGCAGCAGCCTCCAGATGTGGGGTCCCAGAGCAGCCCCTTCCCGGGGACCACCTGGCAGGGACAAGTCCCTTTCCCTGCTCCCAGGCCATGCTGCTCCCCTGGTGCAGGTGGTTCCTGCACTGTCTCACCCCATCCTGCTCCCCAGGAGCAGTCCTGTCCCTCACCTGGCTGAAGCTCCCAGTCAGCTGATGCTCGCAGAGCATCATGTCAAAGAAGATGGGGATGGTGGACCTGCGCAGTTCCAGCTCTGGCACCAGTGTCATCTCCAGGATAGGGCCCACCATGCCAGGAATGAACTCGATCTTGCGATGGCCTGGGGAAGGCAGGAAGGGCTGGGGGACAGATCTGCACCCACTCAGGCTTCCATGGCCACAGCGGCAACACCCCGCTCCCCACAGCCGCTCTGATGATGGTGCAGATGGACACCAGCCCACAGAGACCCAACAGCCCCCTGCACACCACGGCTCACCAAGGCTGTGCCACATGTCCCGGATGGACGCTCCAATCGTGGCTCTCATGTCCCCATACCTGCCAGGACAGTGGTCAGTCAGCATCGCTCTGCTGCCCAGGGTGTGGCACACCCTGGCCAGCTCATCCCAAAATCCCTGACCCCACGGTGTGGCAGCAGCCTGGGACAGGGACCTGAGGTGTTGCTGATCAGTTGGGGTGGACTCACTTGGCCAGGATGCTATTGCGCTTGGCCAGGGAGAAGTTCTCCAGCTGCAGGGACTCCTGGGTGAGGAAGGCCACGGCCAGGTGGAAATAGTTGTTCCAAAGCTGCAGTGAAAGCACAGGGACGAATGTCAGGCTGGGTGGAATGGGGGCTGGGGGAAGCTGGTGGCCAAGGTGTGTCCTCTCCTGGACACCCCGTCCCCACCAGGAACTGGCAGTGCCCACTCACCTGCAGCTCGAAGCTGCTGTTGCTCAGGAACATCTTGGTCAAGGTTGTGGCAAACTGGTTGATGGTGCGCAGGAACTCCCTGGGAGCAAGTGGCCACAGCACTGAGCAAGGGCAGCACCAGTGTGCCCACTGCCCTACCCAGTGTGCCCACCATCCATGTGCCCACCGCTGTCCCGCAGCGGGGGGTAGGGCAGGGGTTCTTTTTGCCCACTGCAGCGCAGCCAAACGCCACCTGGGTGCAGCGGTCCTGTGTGCCTGGAGCTGTGCTCCAGTGTCTGCCTGCCCCGTGCCCAGAGAGGAGCTCCAGGGTCTCACACCCAGCCCCAGCATCTGCCCACAGGCCCCTTCCAGCCCAGGTCCTAACCGGTTCTGCACCATGTTCATCACTACCCAGTCGCAGGGATACACTGTCTTCCC